AAGTGGACATCAGGCAAAAAATAAATCGAAACAAGAATTTGAAATTTAGACCTGGACAAACGTTTTTTTCTGCAACACTTACTGTGCATAATCAAGACATCCTCATGAAAGACAACACTATCAGTATTGAAAAAGAATATTTGTTTGTTTACAATCAATTCTTGTTTGTCCATTTTTAAGACGTGTTCACGCCTGTGTATTGGTGGTGAGGCTCTCAACCCTGTCCCTGTTTAACTCAAACAGTGTATTGTGAAAATATGGTGGGGTGTGGGTCAGTGTGGGGGTAACCTTCATTAACCACACAGTCAACCTAACGATGGAAAAGGTAAGCGAGATCAGTGAACAGGTGAATGAGAGAAGCCATGTGAGATCAGTGAACTGGAGAACAAGAGAAGCCATGTGAGATCAATGAACAGGATAATAAGAGAAGCCACGTGAGATCAGTGAACAGGTGAATGAGAGAAGCCATGTGAGATCAGTGAACTGGAGAACAAGAGAAGCCATGTGAGATCAATGAACAGTTGAATGAGAGAAGCCATGTGAGATCAGTGAACAGGGGAACAAGAGAAGCCATGTGAGATCAGTGAACAGGGGAACAAGAGAAGCTATGTGAGATCAGTGAACAGGAGAACAAGAGAAGCCATGTGAGATCAGTGAACTGGAGAACAAGAGACGCCATGTGAGATCAATGAACAGGATAATAAGAGAAGCCATGTGAGATCAGTGAACAGGTGAATGAGAGAAGCCATGTGAGATCAGTGAACTGGAGAACAAGAGAAGCGATGTGAGATCAATGAACAGTTGAATGAGAGAAGCCATGTGAGATCAGTGAACTGTTGCATGAGAGAAGCCATGTGAGATCAGTGAACAGGAGAACAAGAGAAGCCATGTGAGATCAGTGAACAGGAGAACAAGAGAAGCCATGTGAGATCAATGAACAGTTGAAGGAGAGAAGCCATGTGAGATCAGTGAACAGGAGAACAAGAGAAGCCATGTGAGATCAATGAACAGTTGAATGAGAGAAGCCATGTGAGATCAGTGAACAGGAGAACAAGAGAAGCCATGTGAGATCAATGAACAGTTGAATGAGGGAAGCCATGTGAGATCAGTGAACAGGAGAACAAGAGAAGCCATGTGAGATCAATGAACTCTTGAATGAGAGAAGCCATGTGAGATCAGTGAACAGGAGAACAAGAGAAGCCATGTGAGAGCAATGAACAGGAGAACAAGAGAAGCCATGTGAGATCAGTGAACAGGAGAACAAGAGAAGCCATGTGAGATCAGTGAACAGGAGAACAAGAGAAGCCAGGTGAGATCAGTGAACAGGTGAATGAGAGAAGCCATGTGAGAACAGGGGAACAAGAGAAGCCATGTGAGATCAGTGAACAGGGGAACAAGAGAAGCCATGTGAGATCAGTGAACAGGAGAACAAGAGAAGCCATGTGAGAACAGTGAACAGGGGAACAAGAGAAGCCATGTGAGATCAGTGAACAGGAGAACAAGAGAAGCCATGTGAGATCAGTGAACAGGGGAATGAGAGAAGCCATGTGAGATCAATGAACAGGGGAACAAGAGAAGCTTGAGCTTTTTTCATTTGAGCTTAGACCAGACCATCCAGTGATTGACATCATGAGTTTGTATCCACGCAATTGGGATACGATGACATGCATCAACCAAGTCAGCAGCCTGACCACCCGATCCCGTTAGTCGCCTCTTACCACAAGCATAGTCACCTTTTACGGCAAGCATGGGTAGCTGAGGACCTATTCTACCCCGAATCTTCACGGGTCCGCAATAAATATGGCTTCTTTACTTTTGATTAAATCCCGTGCCAGAGCTCTGCAGCTACTTGTGAAATGTGTAACAGTGAAATATTGTGTTGTTGACATGACATGATGATGTCACAGAGGTATGTCCAGTCGTCTAAGAGTTGCGTTCCTTGACCCCGCTAGAAACCTACTGAGGCCTGCATCACTTCGGGCTTACCTCGGCGTTAAACCCAACTCACTCACTCACTCACTCGAACTGTATGGTTTCCAATCATGATCGGTGTTTAGTAAGAAAATAGCAGACGATACACTGCTCTTTTAAACCCTGGTTTGGAAGGACAGCTTTCAACATCACAGTTTTTGTTGAAACAATATTACACCGAATCCATTTCAGCCCAATATGTTAGCACCCCATAACACACTTCACGACATACGTGGAGTGAAAGTGTGACCGTTTGTTGCTATCAGTTACTGTCAGATCCAGGTGCAAGTGCATTAACGAAACAGGTGTTGTCATCTCAATAATATCACATTGTATGACTAAATGTAGCATTTTCCGGCATTCGTGTATTTGGCATTTGTTTATTGAGCCTTTCACCAAATCTTCTTTCAGCCTTTCTGGTGAAATAAATTTTACAGTGAGTAAATCAAACGTAAAAACCACTTGCTGTAAATTTCTCAAATCAGGTGATAGGCCCTGTTTATGGGCGTGTACTGGTAGTATTTTGTAAAGTCTGGTAAAATGAATTGAATAATATTATAAGCAATAATAGAATCGATATATTGTATCTCCAGTGGGAATCATCCAATGATGTCATCTGTTTTCTGTAAGTTAAACCATTTTACCCTGTGGTTTTCTTTTGTTTCCTTTTTACTACTCGTATTTTACTGTAGATATGTTTTAGCTTCCCGTGTACATTGAGTCATCTCTGTTATAAATATCCTTTTTAACTTCTTTGATAGGCATTTAGAAGATGGAGTACGAAGTAAGGATAAGATACAGAGGTGGACACAGAGAGACATGTTGTTCGGTATTTATGGCAGCATGGCCCTCTGTACTTTTAACATTTTAGTTTCATTTGTTCAGTCACGTGATATACATGATATAGACATATGTGAGTGAACGGATAACAGCAGAGTTGTTTGATTTTATAAGACTGATCATTAACATCTTGTTTTTTACGCCTATTGTTAACCTTCGGAATAAACGCTTCTCTTAGATGTTCATACTTATCACACGCTAATAAAACATGAAATTAAACCTCAATTTCGCCTAAATGGCAGTTTTTACAGATACCCTTTGCAACTTCTCGTTTTGGACATCAATGTCTAATATACACATTGAAAAGGTGTAATGACACTCCGAATTTACGTAAAGCTCGAACAAGCGATTTATTATCAAACATATGTATGTACACGAACATGTATCCTTGCTTATATTTTGTATTCACTTAACCTGTTGTTAGCATAGTAGCTCTACAGAGCTAATGTTATGATTTGCCTGTGAAAACCGACGTGAAATATATTAAGCGTATCTTGTATCTTGATGAGGGGCGGTCGGGTAGCCTAGTGGTTAAAGCGTTCGCTCGTCACGCCGAAAACCCAGGTTCGATTCCCTACATGTGTACAATGTGTGAAGCCCATTTCTGGTGTCCCCCGCCGTGATATTGCTGGATTATTGCTAAAAGCGGCGTAAAACCATACTCACTCACTCACTTGAATCTTGATGACAAGACCCCGAATTGTTAGATCATCAGCGCTTGGACACATTTCTCAATTGGTATGTTGGCATTGTAATGGCAGTAGTGAAGACAAACAAGACCCAAGTACAAACAACAATCGTGGTTTATTTGTATTAAATATAGAACAATATCGGTTATGATCAACGTGAAGATAATAAGAAATTCATGTAATGATAAAAATAGTAATCTCTTCGATTAGAATATAATACTTATAATGCCTTTTAGCAACTATCATTGCAATAGTTACATGGTTTTGTATCATAGGATCAGGTGATCTGACTGGCGTCAGAAGCGACACTGTTCGTGAATGAGCGGGTTGTCCATCGGTCTGGGTGAGGCTGGAGGAGTTAATGAGTCGGCTCAAGAGACAATCTATCAACCTTTGTGAGCTGAAAAAAAACGAATAACACATTAACATTTGTGTCACGCGGGTTTTGAAACAGATGTCAGGGGAAACGTCATTTACCGTAAATTCAGCCTCAGTTTGCTAATCATAAGCGGTACGCCAGACACGAATGAATATTCATTGATATATGCAATAAAGAGTCAATGACACATGCAGATCTAGCTTTAAGTTGCCATTTAAAACCTGTGTAAATTATGAGTCATTTACTGGTAAAAACGGACTCGATTTGAGTGAGTGAGATGAGGTTAACGCCGCTTTAACATTATTCCAGTTATATCGCGGCGTGTCAGCTTAATGTGGGAGGAAAGCCCGAAGTGATGCAGGTTTTAGACGTTTACCACTTCGGTGAAACCCACGAGCATGGGTAGGGTGCTGACAAACCTAGAAACATAATCGGGGCGAACCGGGTTTTGACTCCAAAATCATAGATTTCTGGCGTGTCCAAGGGACGCAACTCTGCACAGCGAATCGCGGCGCCTCAGACGACTGGGCCACCTGTGCCCCCTAATGCAGAAATATGAGTGTACAAAATGTGTGTGAGTGAGGTGAGTTGGGTTTAATACTAATGAATAGTATTTCAGTTATATTATGTATTGAAGTGACACAGATCGCTGACGATTACTGGTTGATAGAACCCAAGATCACGGATATGGTGTTGATAAACCAAAAATCATAATCCTACGTCGACTTAGACCACGGGGTCAAATGTAATGCAAGATAAATAAATTCAGTTATATTAAGGTACTGTGCATTCAATGATAAGTCAGAGTAGATGTCGTGTCACAATAATAAGATCATCATATAATTTATACTGACCTCCCATCTGTTCAACCAGGGTCTGCGCCAGCTTCAGAGGTTCGGAGCTGTAGCTGTTGACGAGATCGCAGAGGTCCTGTAGCTTCTGTTCAGCCTCCTCCCAGGGGAAAGAGTCTTCAGTGGGACGTTTAGGTAACCCTTCCACAGAACCGGGCTGTTTACGCATACCTCCCATAGAACCGGACTGTTTACGCATCCCTTCCATAGAACCAAACTGTTTACGCATACCTCCCATAGAACCAAACTGTTTACGCATACCTCCCATAGAACCGGACTGTTTACGCATACCTCCCATAGAACCGGACTGTTTAGGCAGATCTCCCATGGGACCAATCATGTTCGGTAGCCCCCCAATTGCACGGGACTGTGGCGGTAATCCTCCCATGAGACCAGCCATCATAGGTGAACCTCCATGATTGCCAAACATTTCCAAAAGCCTCTCTTGTCCTTTCACGAAAGCCAGTAGCATACACACGCCTTCTGTAGCTTGCCTCATGTATTCTCTTGGTCCCATGTCTGAAAAGACCGATTTAGAAATGAAAAACTGTATTGATTTAGCTTCGTCTTGAAATTAATAGGGAGATGAAACACTTCTGACATGACATGAAGACAAGAATATATATTTGGCCGTATATGAATCACCTACCTGAAGCAGATGGAGTTGTCATATCCCTGGCGTCGTTAGGCGTTGTCGGTGAAGAGGATATGTCATATAAAGGTGTCGTCATGTCGCTTTGAATGGTATCGGATGTCATGTCGTAGGTGACCGATGGTGAAGTGTCCATTTCTTCTGCAGTTGTCGATTCCGTATGGTCGTCTGAAGAGGTGTCCATCTCGGTCAGAGAGGTTGTACCCTCGCTGAGAGGCGTTGTACCTTCGCTTACAGGTGTCATGTCCTTGGTGACAGGTGTCATGTCCTCGGTGACAGGTGTCGTGTCCCCGAGCTGCCTCCTCTCCAGCCTCTTCAGCAGCTCCTCCAGGAGCTCCATCTTCAGGGACGGTGCGGCGAGGACCAGCACAGGCAGGAGGACCAGACAGAGGAACAGCTTCATCGTGGAGGACTCGAGTACTGGCAGTTAAAAGTTTTGATCAGTAAGCATAACTGCTTTGCTCAGAGGCGCCAAATAATAAGATTAATGCAATATGTACATGAGGTAATTGGATACGTATGCGATCAGTATTGACTAATTTTTTTATAACACTGAATGAATATAAGCCAATAATGTGGTACCATGTGGAGATCCGGGTTAGAAGTGACTCCAATCAATCTTTTCTGTCTAAAGAGATGACTAAAATGGGCTCAGTGGCCATTGCAACGACATATACTATGTACAGTTTCAGTTAATGACGCCGCACAAGCAATGGATATCCAAGAGCCTTAATATTTACAGTCATAAAGTACTTCTTAATTGTACACTACCAAAATAAAGTTGAGCTCCACCCGATGTTTTCACAGATAGATTGATAGATCCCGCTACACTTACCTTCTTGTCGTTACCTGAAGCCGCTTGGACTGACACGGAGACAGAACATCGCTCTGCTCTTATATACAACATGTGATGTCAACAAAACCACTTACGAGGGAGTAACGTGCAAGTGGAATTCAATAGAAACTATACAGTATCTAGAGTAGTCGGATTAGTACAAAATTAGCCATGTCATTTGTAAAGGGATTAGCGGGATCCAATCGGATTGAGTAGAATGTGAAGCAATTGTTAATTATGAACCCGTCACAACCGCTCCAAGGCTAAGGTAACGGGACACAATGAATGGCCGCATAAAGCGTGTTAATTTGCAATTGTTCATTAACGTTTGTGACATTGTCAACAGGTATGTGGTAGGTGGGCAATGTGTGAATCAGAGTGTAGTCATTGTTCTGGGCTGTACGGTCACGGACGCTTGGTCTTCAACCATGTTGAATAACAGCCTTGTTTGGGTGTGTGTGAGTGGAGGCGGGGGGTGGGGGGTGGGGGTGGGGGGTCTGGTGTTTGCCAATATCTGGTTTTTGACCCTTTAGATAAAAAAATATCCAGTCTCCGTTCTCAAAATCCCATTACCTACCCCTTATGACCTGTAGTACCAGTAAGGACAGGTTTGACTTGTGGATTTCAACTTCTTTCAATGTGACGTTTGCTTTTGTTTGTTTTTTTCACGCCGCACTCAGCAATATTCCAGCTAATGTAAATGCTTTGGGAGCAAAGCGTTGTGTTAATCATGTTAAACAATTTTTAATGAACAGCGGTGTTGAAAAATGGCATATTTCGTTATGTTTGTTTTTTTGATTGTTGTTTAACGCCGCACTCAGCAATATTCCAGCTAATGTAAATGCTTGGGGAGCAAAGCGTTGTGTTAATCATGTTAAACAATTTTTAATGATCAGCGGTGTTGAAAAATGGCATATTTCGTTATGTTTGTTTGTTTGATTGTTGTTTAACGCCGCACTCAGCAATATTCCAGCTATATGACGGCGGTCTGTAAATAATCGAGTCTGGACAAGACAATCTTGAGTATAGAACCACGCAATTTGGATACGATTACATGTATCAACCAAGTCAGCGAGCCTGACCACCCGATCCCGTTAGTCGCCTCTAAAGACAAGCATGGGTTGCTGAAGACCTATTCTACGGGATCTTCGCGGGCACAGGTGCTTGTCCCTTTATCTTTAAAGTAGCAGTAGGGGCAGGGTAGACTCACATTTTCGCGAACACCTGGTACCACCACCATTTGATACGCAGACACACCATCATGATACAGTCGGATTCGTACAATCGACTCTGCTTTTAGTAGATATCTCTTATGAATATGGAAAGGGTTCTGTCGCGTTTATTATTGAACTTAAAATAAGTTTAATATATAGCGAAATATTGGTTTGACGACGCCCACTCACTCACTCACTCACTCACTCACTCACTCACTCTTTTCCCGATCAAAGAGCGCGTGATCACGAGGTCCACAGACATTGTTTCTAAATATTCAGGTAATTTTATTTTCCATCCACAAGTTGTGCAAAACACGTTCCAGTATCTTAATCTGCGGCTCTGAACGAGCCTTTCGTTAACCATTTTTTTCACTAAGGCAGAAAAACCACTGTATATGCCATTGTTATCCCTGTCACAGCACGACGGTATGCGCGCAGCTCTGACAACATCTCATGTGTGCAGCTCTTAGGCGTCCAGCACTTTGGCCTGTGGTGACACCCAAGGCCACGGGTATGGTAGGAATTGCGGCGTCCGATCCGACCTTTTCATTTGTGCCCCAACCCCAACCCCGACCCCCACCCCTCCCTCCGATCGACGCCTCCTCCATCACACCCACGACGTATAAACGAAACATTTTGGAAATCCTCCTCTAACACGCCTGCCAGGTGAAATCAGTTCGAAGCCCAAGATGGTACGCACTCATTTTTTGCAACGTGTCATACATATAAGTAAACTATGTTTTATTAATAATATTAAATTTATTTAGTTATATATATTGGTATGCACAGTTAATGTTTGTGACATTCTGCATTTTTTCTTGTATTATGAAGATGTATTCCGAAATATGTGTTTTTCTAAAAAACAAAAAAAAACAATTCGTAGTTTGCCACTTTTAAGGATTTATCTGTCATTCTTTAAATATTTCCAGGTGTACATCTTTCAGATGAATTCCATCTAGTGGTACAATCAGATAAGGGAAAACGCTTCATTCAACTGCATCTCACTTTCACTTGTCACCGTTATGATACCTAATACTTGATTGTGGCGTAAAACGGTTACGCATGTTTGCTTCACTGGATGCCAAAGAGCTGAACAAAATGTTTCAGTTGGGATTTAGTACCAACAAGTTTTGTTAACCGACAGCTAGTAATGCGAATATAGTGAGTGAGTGTGTTGGGTTTAACGCCGCTTTGAACAGTATTCCAGTTAACAGTAAGCCCGAAGTGATGCAGGTCTCAGACGTTATAACTTCGGTGAAACCCATGAGCACGGGTATGGTGCTGACAAACCTAGAAACATAATCGGGGCGAACCGGGATTCGAACCCACGATCATAGGTTTCTGGCGTGCCCAAGGGACGCAACTCTGCACAGCGAATCGCGGCGCCTTGGCCACCCGTGCCTAATGTGAATATAAGGGCTTGGTCAAATTACAAATGTGAAATAATATCATTGCGCTAATTTCATTTGTAACAATCAGGCAAAACGATGTGTAGCTGCGATGTAAAGTGCACATAATTTAAAATGACAGTGTACAGGTTTCCACAAATATTCTCAAAAGCTTTAAAAATTCGACAAAATCAAAGAATTAATGAAATGTCGATACCAGGATAATTCAAAGTGCAGAATCAAAATCCATCGAGAGGCAGTTTAAGCGAGGGTTCGTCATGCCGCAGTCCAGGCTTAATTGTCCACTGTACAATCAGTGAGGCCCTATGGTGGTGTTGATTTGTTTTCTAATTGCCAAATAAAATCTAAACAGATTTCGAAAACGTTTACGTTCGGCTGTCTTGTGACTGAAATAAAAGATCCACACAACACGCCCCGTGCTTCGATTTTCAGTTGGCATCGTTTGGCAGCCAATCGAACATTTTGCACGTCCACAGTTGAATGAAAAGTTTCATTTTCGTCAAGACAAGAGGAAGGTATTGTTTTGGTTTGTAACGTCTTCTCTGCTCAGAACGCGAAGTTTCTTTGTCAGGAGCGGAAGGTTGGAGGGTCGATCCCCTGGCCACTAAAAGATGGTACTTATTGTTACCCTGCCTGACGCTCAGCATTTACGTGATACAGCAAGGAACAATGGAGACAGTATACTGTGTCTAGGTGGGGCATCAGTGTGCGGACTTGTATATGTGTCTCAATGGTCTGGTATCCTAAACCAGCATTAAAAGATGGAACTTGTTTTTACCCTGCCTGGCCCTCGGCATTAAGGGGCTAAAACAAGGACTCGTCGGCTTGGAGTCGGTATACTGTGCCTGAATGGAGTACACATGTTAAACTGCGGCATGGTATCTTAGTGGGCTAGCACAATAAAATCGGCATACATACACACATACCGTCACACACACACATACATTAACGTCGCTATATCAGTGAAATTATCTTCAATGCGATTTTAAACCTCTTTTTCACCCAGGTCTTTGTCAGAATAAACAAGTAGTCAGTGGGGTAACTTGAAGACCTCGGACCACCAAATTTACCTACACCATTTACATCACAAGAGAAACAGCCAAACTGTAGATGAGAAATGGTACCAGGTATCTCGTTCCCAACACATCCAACAATGTGTTCAGTGAAGCATCCATCATGCCATGACGTAACGATGAGGCTCCGCAGGTAACCTCGACTTGACCATAAAAATCTGTAGTATTCCGACATACGACGTCCTTTTTCGGCAGAGGCTGCGGACCGTTACAGAGGTCGCTGTTGCATAGCGTGATGCAGATTTGCATATTCGGCTGAACATCGTAGGTGCATGTAGTCTCGTTGTTGGGCGGACGGTGCTGCAGAAGAGGGTACTTGTCCACCTTGAAGGAGAAGGTCTTCCCATCACTGCAGTCACGGATGTAGCTGCGGACGTTACCTGCAAGGGTAGTGAGTGAGTGAGTGAGTGAGGTTTTACGCCGCTTTTAGCAATATTCCAGCAATATCACGGCGGGGGACACCAGAATCCTGCAAGGGTAAGACGGGAAATGTGTTTTAGAGTGAGTGAGTTGGGTGTAACTCCGCTGATAACGATATTTCAATTTACCACATAATGTCGGCTCAAAGCCAGTGTAAGCTCAGAATGATGCAGGTCTTAGAGGTTCAACACTCTGGTGAAACGTGGAAGCATGGGTTGGTGCTGACAAACCATAGTGAGTGAGTTGGGTTTAACGCCGCTTTTAACAGTATTTCAGTTATATCACGGCGTGTCAGCTTAATGTGGGAGGAAAGCCCGAAGTGATGCAGGTCTCGGACGTTTACCACTTCGGTGAAACCCACGAGCACAGGTATGGTGCTTACAAACCTAGAAACATAATCGGGGCAACCGGGATTCGAACCCACAATCATATGTTTCTGGTGTGCCCAACGGAAGGAACTCTGCACAGCGAATTGCGGCGCCTTAGACGACTGGGCCACCCGTGCCCCCTGACCAACCATAAGCCATATTCAGACCGGTATAAACCCATTAGAATTGGTCTTCAGTTGGTCTTCTATGCTTGTCAGAGGCGACTGATGGGATCGGATGGTGAAGCTTGCTGACTTGGTTGCATATCATCATATCCCAAATGCGTTGGACGATGCTTGATGTCAATCACAGGATTGTCTGGTCCAGACTCGATTTTTTTACAACAAACAAACATGATCAAAAAATTCTGGCACGCCTAAGGTACACAAGAATTGTTGCGACTTTGGCAGCTTGGATTCACGTGCCTTCAGTAATTAATTATGACTATTCATTATTACATAATTATACATCTAGAGTTCAGGCTCATGACCAAAATGATTGTAGTCTGATTCGGTTATTTCAGAAGTCAGACGACGGGAAACACGAAGCTGCTTTGAAGTTGGTATATATATATTTTTTAACTCTATCGCACAAAAATGCATCGGTTATCTATCACTTCAGACCCTCGGGAATTCCGTGGAAGAAAATAGGTCCCCGGCATCCTAAGTAGATGGTGTGGTCTGATTCGGTGACTCTGTTGGTTGCATGTCACCGTATCCCACTTGCGTAGAACGATGCCAATCATTGGATGATCTGGTCCAGACTCGATTAATTGCAAACCGCCTTTTTATTACTGGAATATTGCTGAGTGCGGCGTTAAACAACAAACAAATAAACAAACACACATTCGTAATCTGTCCTTTTCATAGAGGCTTCTCTGGAATAACAACTAAACTTTATTCTTGAGAATATGCATTATTAGATAACCATACATCAATGTAAGTTAGGGCCAATGTTTTTGGTCTGATTCGACTGTTTCAGTAGGCGCTGGAAGTCTTTGTTTATTTGTTGTTCAACGCCGCAATATTCCAGCTATATGACGACGGTCTGTAAATTATCGAGTCTGGACCAGATAATCCAGTGACTGATATCACGATTTATCATGTAATGGGTAGGTTTCTCGGCAGGATAAAGCCAACGGATAAAAACGATATCCATTGGGGTCATATGCGGATAGAGATGCAAATATCAAAGGTCAAGTTGGGACTACTTTTAGTGTTTATTAACAAACATGGCGTCGTCCTTGTCATTCGGCGATCGAGTCAGAATTTACCATCGGGAATCTGGCTAAACTACAGGGATAATTGCTATCATTATAAAAAATCTAATATACTGAAAATCAGTGTCTAACTGTGACGAAGCTGAGGTATGTTATAGGTTTTGGCAACTTTGGAAATATAAATTTCGAAACATTTTTGCGCTAGGCACTAGGCCTAGCCAAGCGGGATCAGTAGCCATATTTGTGCTTGTGGACCTCTACGACCTGAAACCTTTTCCACAAATTAAAATAGTTGGATTTGGCCGAAATATGTATGTTTCGTTTTGTCGTTGTGTATACATCTGACTGCACTTCTTAACGTTATGACAGGACAGACAGTCAACAACGTCTGGCCGTGGCCGTGACGTCTCATAGACTAGGGTTAGAGTAGCTTCCCTTTGACAAAGGGCAGTTACTTTAGCGGACAGACCAATGGATTGCCGCGAAAGGCAAGTAAAACAATTGTTGTTTTGCGTATATGTTGCTTCGCCACTGTATAAGAAACAGATTTCAGTTGGAACTATATTGGCTACTGTCACTGTCTGACAGACACATCACTTACCCTGTGACGTAATAAATATTAATGCGCACATTCCAGGAAACTGGCAATGTTTCGGTCATGTTTGTGAGAGAGGGAAAGCGATTTTCAAGCACAGAATTAAAGAATGACATTATATGATAAAAAGGTTATCACGCTTGTGTGTTTTGGGATGGTAAATATCCTGTAGGAATAAACACTATGTATCTAGCTCGCCAAGGCTCGCTTAATACAATGTTTATTCCTAATGCAGGAAATTTACTATCCCCAAACACACTCGCGTGATAACCTCTATCTACGCAGTCAGGATATGTCTACATGACAACGAAGCGCGCCTGACAACCCGATCCCGTAAGTCGCCTCTCACGACATGTATGGGTTGCTAAAGACCCGGATCTTCACGGGCGGCGCCGCAACTCGCTGTCCAGACACATTCAGGCTTTCCTCCAACATCAAGCTTTCACAGCATGATATAACTGACATATTGTTTATAGTTGCGTTAAACCAAACTCACCTACTAAGCAAGGGCACGTTTTGAACTCAGATCAATTTTCTCTGATCCCGTTATTGGTTTAGAGTACGTTGGTATAGTCACGTTCACATTAAGTCTTACCCTGTGACATGTGCGTTTCAATCATGCACATGTGTTGCATGAAAGGAGTGCAGTTTTTATGATACTTGTTTATCCGTACATCTTCCTCAGGTTCATTCTCATCTTCCACTACCTTCTCCGACTTGGGAAGGTTCAGAAGGACAGAGGTATTCCCGCAATCCACGTCTCCTCCCCCTGAATCGGCGCACTGGTAGCAAGTTAAGGAAGCTTGAAAAAGAAAAGGAAAAGTTACAGGCTGAATCAAAACAATAGGTTTGCCGTCGTGGTCGGTACAAGTAACATTCACTAAAAAGAGGGGAGAACCTTAACCCTCACCATAGCCACAATAACAGCCACAACCACAGGCATAACCATAGCCATAGTCACAACCATAGCCATAACCATATCCGTGACCACAACCATAAACATAACCACAGCCAATGCCACAGCCATAAACACAGCCACAGCCATAACCATATCCGTGACCACAACCATAAAAATAACCACAGCCACAGCCATAGTCATAGCCACAACCACAGCCACAGCCATAGTCATAGCCACAACCACAGCCATAACCATATCCGTGACCACAACCATAAAAATAACCACAGCCACAGCCACAGCCATAGTCATAGCCACAACCACAGCCATAACCATATCCGTGACCACAACCATAAACATAACCACAGCCACAGCCATAGTCATAGCCACAACCACAGCCATAACTATAGCCGTGACCACAACCATAGTCATAACCACAGCCACAGCCATAGTCATAGCCACAACCACAGCCACAGCCATAGTCATAGCCACAACCACAGCCATAACCATATCCGTGACCACAACCATAGACATAACTACAGCCAATAAGCCAATACCACAGCCACAGCCATAGTCATAGCCATAACCATAGCCACAACCACAACCACAGCCATAACCATAGCCATAACCATGTCCGTGACCACAACCATAGACATAACCACAGCCAATACCACAGCCACAGCCATAGTCATAGCCATAGCCATAACCATAGCCACAACCACAACCACAACCACAGCCACAGCCATTTTGTATAAAAATATGAGGCTGAGGGTGTGTGTGTGTGTGTGTGGGGGGGGGGGGGATTGTCTCATTTAATTTTTTATTTTCATGATCCAAAGTTGATGGAATGATTAAGCGATACATCTGAAATAAAAGGAAGATATATCTGCGGTAAAGTGTACGATTCACTGATGGGGAAATATATCTAAAGTGAACTGAATGATTGACTATGTAAGTCATCGGAGCCGTACATTCAATCGCGATTCATTATCAGTGAAATTGTTCAAATTCTTTTCATTAAATACAACATAAAATCAGAGAAGAAACAGGACAGACTCACATGTGTAACCGACAGCGACAGTCAAAACCACGAGGGCGATACTAACAGGCAGATACAGAGAGACAGCCATTTTGAAATGTAGTCCAATTCCAACTAACACGTTTTATGCAATAGTATCGTATTCATGCATTGGTTCCATTGAATATCTTCAAGCATGCATTATTCGTACCAGGAAGCCGATGCGCGGCCGCGGAGCTTATCATTACACCCAAACTAGCTCTGTATATAGCTATTTACGTGGATATATAATACAGTATTGACTGTTGACTCACAACACTCCGCCTAGTGGAGCCCTCTGTCCTAAAGTGTTTCATACTTTCGTCACTTAACAAGAATTCAAAAGGTATTGAAGTGTACGTAGTTTGGTATCTGGGAGCGGGTATGACGGAAAGGGCGCATGTCACGTCATTGTTCGACAGTAGTACTTTACTGCGTCTGAGTGTGTTCGAGTTGTATTTAATCTACAGCTATAGCTACACTTCACAAAACAGCTTACATACTCACTTCAAAAAGAAACGCACTTCCTAAAGGATGAAATGTCCTCAAACGGAAATATGGCTTGTGGAACAGGAATATGGTCTTCATGTAATTAGAGTAATATTTACCTTATTATTTATTAATTTAATATATTTTTAATTTTTAATTGTATTTATCATTAATTTCTTATCTTGTTGTAATTAACCAATAATTAGCTTCGTTTCTCCAGCTGGTAAGATATTGCCAGATGGATGAATATGAAAGTAAACCAAATGGGTTTTAACGGCTTGAATCAAACTTGCCTGCCAAATGAGGCGAGACAAGTACCTCTTTAAGTCATTCTCGCAGAGCGTGAGGTGAGGTGATATGGGGTTTAACGTCGCGTAATAGATTGTGCACACTTACACAGCGAAGTGCATACCACTAATGGCGCTGTGTTTTTAAAAAACATAACTTGCTTGTGCTGTTTTAGTTTCAATGAATTCTTTTCAGAACGAGCCCGCCTCTGTGATCTAGTGTATAAAGCGCGTGTCCGGAGAATGGAAGGTGGCTAATTCGATTCCCGCCGCATCATACCTAAACATCTTTAAACATGGAGTTTGTTATTACTCTGCCGTGCGCTCGGATAAAACAAGGACACGTCGGCTCGGAGTAAGTACACTGTGTCTGGATGGGGCGAGGCTTGATATGTTTAGGATTAGAAGATTGTTAAACGATGATGATTGTTTAGCATTATCTGAACACATTCTTCCAAGTTTTTCAGTTTGCAAAAACTAATAATCACTGTCTTGAGTGTAAATTAAAGCGACAAAATCCTTTCCACATTCATTGAAACTCTCTGCAAAAAACAGAGTTGATTAATATCATGAGCAGGTTTTTATGAATCACGATCAAATAATCATAATGCCAGATGTTCGTGAAGGTGAGTGTATTCTGCCCCACAGGTGGCACCTGTCACAAACGCATGCAAAGGGTAGTCAATCATTCACCAGAAAAACACGGGAACATATGGTTAAGTGAAAATAGGGAATTTCATTCTATATCATTTTTGTCACAAATACACCAGCTTCAGCTTCAATGGCAGATATGTCAGTGATGTCCTTTAATTGAGACGCCATGGCAACCTGTGACGACACAGTGGTCTGCAAAGGATTGTAGCACAGGATTATTGATATCACCCAAGCAATATATCCTGTAGAAGCCAATTTTGAATGTCCAAGTGACCGCACTGACAGCATGCGGCTGCAACATGGCGAACCTGTCTCTGAATAATTCTTCTAAAGATGTTGCGACTCATGCAGAGCATGCTCCGGCATAATAACTGGGTCAGAAACATTGACATCGTGATACAACAGGACTGCACCTCGGTACAACTCGAGGTTGCAACAAAGGCTTACAGACGGACCATCTCTGATCGCAATTCGTTGTCGCCAAAACCACCAAGGACACATACCATACTATGATGTAGGGCTGCAACGATACAGGAAGGTCACGATACGATACACATTTCGATATTCTGGTCACGATACGATACGTATCTCGATACGCAATGATAAAAAAAACAAGACTTAAAGCATGTCAAGATTGAAACTTTCATGATTTTGGAACAGTCAAAATTATTTCATAATAACAAGACTACTGAAGTTGTTCAACTTTACCTCAAAACAATTCAAAGTTCAAACACCAGAAAATAATTCATGTACTCCACCAGTGATACAACTTCAAAGAATTTTGATGCAATGGTCGAATAAATTGTATCTGAAATTATTGTTTTATCAGGAATAATTTATTCCAATATCGTGATACCTTAGTTGCAGATTTTACTATACAATTATATATTTATAATTATAAGAACCACAAGTGTAGCATTTTGGTACTGGTGATTGCTGTTGCAGGATATTTTTACGTATGGAACAATTTGACCAGTCACCCTAGGGACTTCCCGTGCTACATGTATTTCGATTGCGATAACGTTATGTTGACATATATTAGCCAAATTGCCACAAATATGACTGTTAAAGAGTCAAAGTATGGCATTTTTAATATATGTATCCATTCTCTAGCAACTAAAGTTCGTTTCAATGCGTCAAAAGGGGTAATATGACCGTGGTTGCTGTATCTCTTCACACACGATTTCACATAATTTAATTAAAAACAATATTAAATGAAATTTTGAATAAAATTAATAAAATATATTACAAACACAAGACCAGATATACAATGAACACGTTTTAATAACATGATAGTATAATAATGGTATTGAATTGCGTACTTCAGTTCGGATTTGCTGACTTGTATTTTCGGTGTTATGTGCTTGCGGTGATCAGCTGATAATGTTTTATGAGATGGGGAAAAACATCTGTCGGTGTAAAACCTGAGCTTATTAAAAATGTAAGTACGTTTTTGGGAGCCTTGCGTTAGCGCGCTATAACCAAGTTAGCGGTTTATTGAAAGGCACAATACCAAGGAAACGCTGTACTTGAGATTTGCGTTCCGTATCGTGGCGTATCGATAAATGGGCCCACGTTTATCGTGTATCGTATCGTGGGTCAAGTATCGCGATGCATCGGAATATCGGGGTATCGTTTCACCCTTACTATGATGGTTGATTGAGGCTTACGGAGAACACTGAAGATTGAGAACATTCAGGTATATTTGTTTTATCTATTCGTTATGATATGTCATGCAATTTGAAAATGATATTTTGATAAATTAAATTGTTTTCCAAATAACCAAATCAATACGAATGCTTGAGAAAATTAAATATATTATTTCGTGGAAGGATATTGGCTATGCATACAAATGTTGGTGCACTCTTTCACACAGAACTTGTATTTATATTGTTCACACAAAAAATAAAACAGTTTAAAATCACAAAAATCCATGGCCTAACTTACACCGCTGCTCAACTCTTTACGGCGGTACTACCGCAAAATTTTGGCTGAATTTCCGAGGCATGATTGTGAAATAACCACATTACATTTGCATAAATAATATCGTGCCAATCTTTTCCATATCTATCCGTAAAATAATAATTCTTCGTTAAAGAAAGGATGGATTAAAATTGAAAACAACGATTTTTCGTTTCACATACGCTGGAATATTGTTCGGTATTTCTAACACTGTTGCAACAACACCAGGGATGTTAGCACCTCTCCTTGCCGGCATCCTAACACCGAATGTAAGTGTGTGAGTGAGTTGGGTTTTACGCAGTTTTGCACATTATTTTTCTGTTACCTTAGTGTGAGCATCACGGTGAAACTTTATCCGAGTGGACGTTATTTAAGTTATTTTCATATCTTGTACATTAAATCGGAAATTTGATATTATTTAAAGTTTAATAATCTATCTATCTGACTGACCACGACAGTCGCCGTTTTTTAATTAAACAGTGCACAAATCGCATGGCCGACCAGTGTGGATGCCATGACGTCAGAATTTGGCACTGTTCGACATTCGAGCTACCATACTGAAAGTTCGATGGCGGCCGGTTTATTGCTCAAGCAGTACACAAATATACCACCTAAAATAAGTTATTTGTAACCTGTGAGTGAGTGAATATGGTTTCACGCCACTTTTAGCAATATCACGGCGGGGGACACCAGATATGGGCTTCACACATTGTACCCGGATTTTTGGCGTGACGAGCAAACGCTTTAACCACAAGGCTACCCTACCGCCCCTTGTAAGATGTGGGATTTCACGAGCTCAACGTTCGCGTGCACGGCTCGACCCAGCAGTATTTCAGCAACATCAGCTTGACGTGGGTGGAAAGTTGTAGATTTTAAACGTTAACCACTTTGTTGAAGCCGTGAGCACGGATATGGTGTGACACTGCCATATGACGTAAAAACAGATCCATCGACTTTCTCCCTTTATAGAAAACTCAGGAAGAATGGCGGAACGTGTTCTACGTCTGTGGGGGATTCTGTATCCTTGGAACTCTGGTGTTTGGCACCCAGGCCCGGGGGGAGCTGCAGCCCTGGGCCGTGGAACAGGCGACGGTGGACGTGGGGGAGGGGCAGGATGTACCTGGGGGGTTGACCAATGATGCTGTTGTCAACGGAGGCCTGAACAGAACAATACATTCATGTCAACCCATCTATACATGATGGTCCAATCAGCTCTGGTTTGGACATAACAGGATATTCCAGGACATTCTTCATCCACAGTTAGACCCTTTCTACAACATTAATCAATAATAGCTCATCGGAAATGTTTTGAGATGTAACCTAATTTTGTTTCAACAGTTTTTATTCCATTTCAACAGAATATAGATAATATATTAAGGAAGGACATAACAGTATGTAATATTAATTGAATTGTACATGGGGGGATGCATCATTCTTTAACAGTGGATGCGTGGGTAAAACAAATGTACAATGTATAACATTCAAAATTGAAATTACATTATATTTGATTAGTGCCTCAATCGATCAATGGAGTCAGGTACCTGACTTGAAGACATAAAAACAATCAAATTTGGATTATTGAGTGTTATTGTTATAAGCAATATATTTTTTCTGTTTTACTAATGTCGGTGACAACCTTTAAAAATGTCTCAAAGGATAACTTTTGCTGCTTGATGATGGAGACACAAAGTTTTATGTCAGTATTATGTCGATTCCCAAATTGAAACCATGTGTTGAACCAACAAATAACCAACAAGTCGAAACAATCAACAAATGTATTACAAAATTAACTGTGTTAACAAATCAACACAAATTACTGCAGTGGTCAGTTTTAAATGCAAAAATACTGTGGTGATAGCAAACGTCAGTGGTAATAATATATTTTCACTCAGCGGCGACAGTCGTCAAGATGAGCCAGGCAGGGAATGAGGGACGATGAGCGATCATCACATGTAAGCTGGTACATTATACATTATATATACATGTATATATATATGAGTGACGTCAGACGGTGAGTGCAAGAGGAATGACGTAATACATTAATGGGCACCTCGAGGAACAAGCCGATCAAACTCGGAATGATTTACAAATTGCAGCGCCATCTGGCGTTCTTTATTGTCAACGTCCTTTGTGTTCACTGGCGTTCTTTATTGAAAACGTCCTTTCGTGCTCACGGACGTTCTTTCGTACACATTGTTCTTTCTTTTCATATGACGTCTTTTAGTAACATTTGACTATTAATATTGCGTACTTTTGACAACTTATTTCAACGTTGTATGTTTAACCGGCGTCTGTTTGTTTTGTATTTTGACCTTTAGTGGTAACATTTAGTTCTTTATTCATAATATTTGACCTTAATTGCGTACTTCTGTCCTTTTTTTCAACTTTGTATTTTTTGACCGAGTGGCCGACCATACTCACCAGTCTAGCAGTACGAGAACATAACAGATTTTTCTGCATGGCCCAACAGGCGACCGGAGGTTTACACGCCATCTAAATATAGTAACTTCCTAACGACTTGCCCTTGTCCAAAAACAATTCAATGAACGTCTACCGAATCCCAGCAGAAACAAAGCAACACAGCTACAATCATTGCTAAACAATAAAATATACTGCCATGTAAAAATATGTTATGGAAATCACAGGTATTTTCTGAGTCTATTGTATCTGAGTTTTCGTACAGCTTACTATTGAAATCTTTTAATTCGTTTAGGATAGTTTTACAATCACATATTTCATATCCTTTATCTTTAATAATGTTGTTTATAAGTTTACTGGTATAATTCCTGTTTTCTAAATGACAAAAAAATAATTGGTTGGTTTTCCCCCTTCCTCATACCACCTTATCCTAACTTCTATTTCATGAGTGTGTTCTAGCTGCAACTTATATGTTGATAATACTGAAAGTAAAGATTTGCTAATCTTTTGAAAGTCGTTTCTAATTATTTCTTCCAAATCAGAATAATCTCTTTTGATAATTACTCAGTCTTTTTGTCACTATCCTTCTTGAGAAAAGAAGCAAATAAAACGGTTTTACCTCGAGGTTTCGAGAAAGGTTTCAAGGAAAATAGCATCCAGTCCCTCCAACCATCTATCAGGTCAAAAGTTTCTGTTTTATCTAATATTAATTTTCTTGCCTTTGGGTTATTTATGTTTTCACTTTTCCATTCATTTTTTTAATTAAATTAACGTCTTGGCTCGAAATGTGGATATCTTGAAGGCAAATAACTGAACATTTTCTCTCTCCATATGTTCATTCTTTCTTTGCGTTTATTTTTTTCAACAACCCCCGATCTGCAATTTGCTGACACTCTCTTTTTCCATTGTCATTGATATTTTGACTAATGTATTGACATTGACATTTAGATTGGAAACTAATGCAATGGAATTTTAAGTTTGGTGATAGATTATAACAAAACATGGAGACATAAACAATTGGTGAGAAATACCCTTCCATCCATCTGAAGAGACGGTTACGAATAAACTAAGATATATAGTGTCATTAGTGTCGTTCCCTTAAGTGGATCACTTCAGGGAATAATCTAGAGTCGTTTCTACTCGGGAGACTGTGATGTATCTGGAATAGGCGCACACCATCGGCACGGCGAACAAGTCAGGTCCTGTGACAGTTCAGTCATGAGACTATCGAATCGTCGATCAAATCTTCCAGTTCAATCAGTTTCCACACAGGGTTTGAGGATCGTCCATACTCAAGTGAAATATCCAAACCTCTCTCCATTATCCGAGATTGAACCTTGTGTGTCTGACGCAGTTCGGGCGTCTTGGCTGCTTGGTGTGATCGTCTTTCTTGAGGGGAACTGGCAAGTCCGATCGGATTGAGATCTTTATCCCACGCAGAGATCTACCTTTTCTGAAGCTTGTCTGGAATACGTTGTGTCGATCCTGCTTCAGTAGAAACTCCGGCTCCGGGGCGTTTTTAGTGCGTTCCCAGTTCCCAAGATGGGGTAGTCTATGGATGTTCGGGGTCCCCGAGTTGTGTAAATGAGCTCCTTCAAGCCGTCTCCAGCTGGAATTCCGTAGATGAGGAGATTTTTGAATTCCTTTGGTACATTTCTTTTGCAGACATCTGCATTCAAATTTAGTTTTATAGTAGAAATTAATCACGAAGCTTGTCAATTTCATTCCGGTTCGTTTGAAATTCTGCAGAGTTAAAGTCTCATCCAGGGTGGTGCGAATCTTTGAGATATTTCAGTTTTAGTTTCATCAATCTTAGTCGTGATCTCGGACGTATGCTGTCTTAAAGCCTGAGCGAAAAGTTGTTTCATGTCGTTCACATCAACGATCGTAATACAATGTGTGAAGCCCATTTCTGGTGTCCCCCGCCGTGATGTTGCTGGAATATTGCTAAAAGCGGCGTAAAACCATACTCACTCACTCACTCACTCAACGATCGTAATCGGCTCCACCTGTTTTCGTCGATGTTTTTTTAACCAACGATCTGGTCACATACTCGTCCAAATTTGTCACAGTTGTTGTATTTTGCATGTTTATATCCTTACTTGCTCTTGATCTACCTATACCAGACACTTTGTCTGTTATTCGCATCAGTGCCTTACCGGAAGTGAGATGTAACTTGAAGTTGACAATACCTAATAAAAAAAAGTAAATCGTTGAATCTTGTTTTCAACGAACAAACCATAGAGAAGCTGCGCTGACAGAAATAGTAAAGTTTACTAACTTAGTAAGAGAATGTCACTGTTCACGCAAACACCAACATCTTTGAGCACTTTACTAACCAGTTAGACCATAAGGTGGCCCAGTGGCAAATTTGCCAATCATTAAGTGGAGATTACTATCCAACTTTCAAAGTGTTATATGTCAGTGTATTCTATTATTTAACAGTGATTGTAGCTGTGTTTCTGTTGAGATTCGGTAGACGCTCGTTGCATTGTGTTTGGGCAGTGACCAGTCGTCAGGAACTTATTATATATAGATTGTAAATTGATTGTATAGTGTAAATTTCGTAAGGCCGTGGACTCGTGCAGAAAATTCTGTCATATTCTAGTACCGTAGACTGGAGAGGGCACTATATGGAAACTTCAAATAGCTTGTTAGGCTGTATGCACAATTCGTGGCTATGGAACCAGCTTTCATGTAAGCATCACTCATCATACCCAGTTACCTGCCTTGTCGATCTCGCAAACTACTCCACTGTCGCCCATAGGTGAATATATATCTATTTAATATCACTGACTTTTCCTGTCATCTAACTTACATCCTGTAACACATGGCTTCCGGGACATAATCGTTAAAGTATTTACATACAACACTCAAAAATAAGTTCAATATATTTGTCTTTACTTTCGATGTCATTTAGCGCGATAGAGACGAGTCGAATACTGGTGCTTTTTCAGCGTGAACACGACAATGTTATTTCATAGTGGTGCACCTTTGTGTCAATTTTAGTTTCATAAGGATATTTTAGGATTTGTATCAATGTATAACATTTTTGTGATGAATATGAGATGAGATATTTAACAAAACAAAATACAGTTTCACACAGGCAAAGTGAACTACGGGTCAAGATGTCAACTTGTACACATAACAACATGATATTTAAGAACACACAATGCCATTTTGAAAGTGGTCAAATGTAACAAATGTTATATTTCGGATAACACTTTCTCAGTAAAGAACAGATTCTAGTACGTTTTTGGGTTGTATCCCATTCGGGAGTGAGGCCTAATCGTCACCACACAGAGTAAGCGACCTAACCCACTCAGCCACTGAAAGTCTAGATCACGTTCTTTGTGTACCCCGCTGACAAGTGGCACGGCTCCCATGGCCAAAAGCTATGAACACACAATGCAATTTTGAAAGTGGTCAAATGTAACAAATGTTATATTGGGGATAACATTTTATTAGGAAAGTACAGATTCTAGTACTTGTTTGGGTCCCATCAGGTATTCGAACCCACACTGCCAGACTGAGGCACCTAATCGCCAGCATGATAGTTTCGAAAACAGTTCTTTCCAGTGAAGGGATAAAAAATAACAGACAGCAGATACTGTTAGCTACAGGGTATTCATTGCCGTGTACCGTATTGATATTTAATTGACTATTCCCGATTTTGAGTTATTTTGCAATTCATCGTTCTCATTTGGAGCCAAACGAACTGTTGCTGAAACAGGATGAACCTGCCTGTAAATAGATCTCCCAAGGGCGCAGTGACTCACGCAGAGCATGCTCTGGCATACTGTTAGTAACGAGGTCAGTATCAATGACGCAGACATACATCAGAACACCACGTATTCGCAATGCAACTCGAGGTTGGAATATAGCCTTATAAACGGACCACCTCTGATCACAAGACGTCGCTCAAACCATTAAGGATACATACAATACAATAATGGTTGACTGAGATCATTCCGAGATTATTTAGAATACAGTGTTGATGTGAGGCTTGCGGGCGCGGACAGAAAGAACATTCAGGTTTGTTTGTTTTATTTATTCGTTGTGCTATATCATGCAATTTGAAAATGACACGATTGATAAATAAAATTGTTCACCAAATATCCAAAGCAATATGAATGGCTTGGATAAACTTAATTGTTTTTTCTCCGTTTAGTTAAACTTTATTTAACAAGCTGTGAACACACATAACACACAGTGTTATTGTTCAGAAATTAAATAAAATGTATTTATAAGTCAGCACAAAAGTTCATGACTACAGTACTTCTCACAATTACTCACCTCTCCACTGCGGCATCTCCGCAAAACTTTGGGGGAATTACCGCGGCATGTCTGGAGAATCACGGCAATACGTTTCCGTAACGTGGTACCATTATGAAATACACTTGGTACATTTGCCTAATAACTGCTGTATTTTGATTACCTACCGTATCGTATCATTTTGCATCGCAAACGTTTCGCAGAAAAGAGCTCAGGATGTAAGCACCTGTGAGTACCACAGTTTATTAATTTACAAAGTGCTGTCAGGAGACGTCATGGAGGGGAAGATCAGCTTACCCAATGCATCACAGAACAAGCATCCACTGCCCGATGATGCAGAACACTCGAACCGTAAGTGTGCGCCATAAGGGATTGGCCATTTGATATTCCTGGAGACATAGTCCGTTCTATAAAAAAGGCCTTTGGTTCCAAAAAATGCAATATGTTGAAGTTGGGGCATTTAACCATCTCATGATGATCAAGTGTATATGTAAGAGTGAATATCATCTACACGGGTCTTGTTTTATTTATTTCCTCATACCATGTCATGCAATTTGAAAATGACACGTTTGATGCTTGATCACCAAATATCAAAAGAAATCCAAATCGGTAGTAAACTTAAGCGTGAATTGATCGATTTAGTTGGTGTATCTTAAAAGGCCGTGCCAATATATGGGTCATTCTCTAAAAAAGTAACATTTCCTGTACAAATGAATTTTCTTGAAAACAACTCATATTTCTGTTTTCAGATTACTTGGCAATGAAAATATCTATCAGATATATGCAATATTCTGATTAAATTACTGCTATAACCTTATGTTAGCCAGTACAAATACGTTAAATGTGCAATATTGTGCAGAAATTTGATGTCAACAAATACAAAATCAAACTTTCACAAATTGTCTAAAGTCTCTGGGAACAAATACTTCCCAAAGCCCTGGTGATTTATGTAGCATGACATCATGAAAGGCTAATAACACCAGAAAACCTGTTGGTTTTCCACTTGGATTTATTATTTTTGGCAACAGTAATCTTGTCCAGAGTTATAGTGTCTGTCCTGTCACCAAATAGTACAAATACAAATAATAATTGCACCTGTGGTATCCCAGAAGGCTAGGGTCTTTGCAGGTCGCTTCCTTTCCAGTACTATCATGTAACCATATGCTCAAGCATTTTACAGTGGTGAAGTGTCTTGAAAATAACTGGTAAGTCTTGTCTTTTGATGTGTACTTTTCGTAGGTGTCTGTGCTGTCACCATGAATTTTGTATTTCGAAATTGTTATTTAAAAAATCAAATATAATGAGTATATTTGAGTGTCAGAATGGAACTCAAGCAGTGTGCTTTTTGTAGCTTTTTTAAAAAAAATGACAGGACAGTGAGATATTTGGGCGACAGCACAGACACACAGTGTTCAATAAATGTTTCAACACATATATATTAAAAGACAAAGAAAGCATGAATGGTTATTTATTTTGTATGATTGCTTGTTGCATGAAAATCTGAATATTATTAACATTTGGGTCAATAAACACTGATTATACTGCACAGTAGATCTTTGGTAACAGCACAGACTATTGTATCATGTTGACACAAATAATGAACAATTATTCATTTTACTCGTCCTACTGTTGTACATGATTAAGAAATGTAATATATTTAGCAACTTTAAATGAAAGTAATGTTGCATGATCATTTCAAACACCGTGTCTATGAGTGACAGTGACAGCACAGACACTTAACAGTAACAGCACAAACATTTAGTGTTTAATAGAGATTTTGAGAAAGAGTTTTATAGACACTGAACCATTGAACAAAACTATCCCTTAGGCTTTTGTTACTTACAGGAAAATTGAATATTCTATTAACATTTGGGTCAATAAACACTGATTACACTGCACAGTAGATCTTTGGTAACAGCACAGACTTTTAATAGTGACAGCACAGGCACATTTCAGTGACAGCAAAGACATTTTAGGATTTCTTTTATCATGTTGACACAAATAATGAACAATTATTCATTTTGCTCGTCCTACTGTTGTACATAATTAAGAAAAGTAACATATTTAGCAACTCTAAAGGAAAGTAATGTCACATGATCACTTCAAACACCGTGTCTATGCGTGGGGGAAAGAGAGAAGTGGAGGTTTGTGTGCTAACAGAATGGAGTGTATGAGTAAGACAAAAGGAAATACACCAGCCAGTTGATACAAATGAATGCCTGGGGAAATATGTTGACATTGTGTATAACATATCATATCCTGGTTATGTTGAAGATATAAAGCTAGGTGCAGTTTTTGTGGAATGTATTCATAAAGTGGGAAAGTACAGGAATGCAAATCGTTTCTTCTGGCCACGCAAACCTAAAGACAAATGCTGGTACCATTTTGAGGACATAGTTAGCTTGGTACCAGAGCCTTCCAAAATCTCACTGTCCTCTGACTATTACGATGTTGAGCCTTCTTTGTGGGAAGATATGTTGGAAACAATCCATGGCAAACAATAACCTGTGTTAAATGTGCACATGTATGAGGTCAAGAATGATTTACGGAATGTTGTCATATAATGCTATCATTTGGTAAAAGTGCAAACCTGTTATCAGACTTTGTCTGTGCTGTTACTGTTGAAGTTTTGAAAGTTGACTATTCTCATGTCCCTTCAGGCTTTTGCTTGGAATAAGCATAATAACCTCAAGAAGTGCCATTAAGGTTGTTGGTATAGTTTCTGACCAAGTTCTATTTTTGAGATGAGCAATTCCACATAAGATTTGTTTATGAATGTTTGCTTGTCTGTGCTGTTACCAAACCTCATGTTTTTATTTAACTAGTGTCTCATACAAAATACACCTAACACTTTGAAGTGCACTTTCATTGAGTTTCCTTCATTTTGACTACCTTTGCTTCCTAAACACAGAATTAGTTATTATAGTTTTGGCAATTACAAAATATGTTGTCTTTCCTGTTACGATGTTGTCTGTCCTGTTACCATGAATGTATTTCCTGTCACCAGGTTTCTGCATCTCAAAAGTTATAATTGTTTCAACTCTGCTGACAGAAATATATATAATTCATAAAGTGAGTGTAATAACTATTATTACCTTATAGAATAATGGTAGTTCCATTTTAGTGTAAGCAGTAGACAAGTTTATCTTTCATCTTTCTGCTAATAATTTCATTGTATGCATATATTTACAGTCTAATAATTTAGTAAACCCAATGAATGAAATTTTATAGCTGTTGGTTTATGAACTGTGCCAAAATGCAACAACCATTTCATAAATGTAATTCATTTTAGATTTATTTTCGGAGACAAAAACTGAATTTTATGCACGGTAACAGCACAGACATTTGGTACAGAGATGCCAAAAATAGTTTTCTACAAAAAGGAAATAGAGATTACTACACGAGTGTCTGTCAGATACCATTGATCTTACAACGAGTTGTTTCAAAACGTATCTAACGAGCGAAAGCGAGTTAGATACGCTTTGTAACAACGAGTTGTAAGATCAATGGTATCTGACAGGCACGAGTGCAGTAATCTGTTTCTTACACACCCTAAAATCGCACCTTTTTAGCATCAAACCGATGCATTTTGTCTATTCTCATGATTGCAGTAGCGCATTAATACATAACACCATTGTCATAAGTGACGTCATCCTATGTGCTGCTTACTATTCATAAATAATGTGACCCTACACAAAAAGGTTTCAGTCATATCTGTGGATTATCAAGGCGATGATAAAAATGCAAACTAGACAAAAACAAAGAACATGCTGTGCGCCAAGTTTAAAGTTTACACCTCAAAGAAATTACCAAATATGTACAACAATGTTTACTTCCGTAAGACATCACTACCGGTTACCGACTTACTTACAAAATGGCGTGTTCACTGACAACAGTAAGCGGGATTTCCAGAGGAGGATTTTCGTTGATTGAGGGATCGTATACACATAAATGCGTCACGTAAGTAATCAGAAACATTCTGACAATCTGCGTACTGTTATTTGTTTACCGTGTTTTCCAATGTAACAAAGAGAATTAGTCAGAAATGCAGATAACTACCGTCATCGTTGTGCGTGATTTAGCGTCAGTCATGGCCTCACACAGGACGGAAACTTTTACGACTCCTGTTGAATTTACCACATCATTGTAATGTATATTTCCATAATTAGTGCAACGATACTTTTCCCATGAATATTCTCAAACCCGTGATCGAGCCAATGTATGCAACAATTAGATGAAAGTACCTCTAAACATGCTACACAGTGTAAAATCTGAATTTTGCTTTGTTTACAATTCAGCAATTTTCCGAGTTTTTCGAGCACAGTTTTCGTTTCCATACCTAATGTATTTCTCATGATTTCACCTAGATAATTTGCATTGGTGACAAAGACCATTTATCCATTGCTTCGAAAATGTATGAGGAATTCAGGGATGCATGTATAGCAGCTGAGTTTGAAATATACCTGATCGAATAGGCGTCTCATAACCTGCATTTTGTAAACACAATCCAATATGGCGGAACGTACACTTCGTCGTTCGTGTATGCGTATTTTCGCAAACATTCTAAACGATTCTAGGCTTATAAGCGACGTTTCAAAATTATCATTAGTGATTTGATACCCGTGATCGCTAATATGCTATTTTTCCACTTTAATTATTCGAGTAAATATCCGATATTTAGATTTCTAAACACACAGTAAATATCTACATAATGCCGTAAATTGTGATTTGGCGAGATTTACATGTACCTAATTTCCAGAAGTCACTTTCAGTAATTTTGAATTGGCTTAAATGACAGTAAATGATAAACAGAAGGTGGAATTCAAAACTGTGAAGTGTATTAGTCTGCGTGATGTATTTTGAATTTTATTCGACTTCGCCGGAGTGTGGTTCAATACAGACGTACGAGGGTGAACATTCGACTGAAGCACGAGCAACTTATGAATTACACTCAGGAAAGTAGTCCGTCATCATCTGACCTCAGGTCATCACCATGGAGTAACCAATCAGGGGCCTGGAATTCGATCTCACACATATGTTTGATACCAGTTATCTCAAATGGGTGTCTCACCCACAGGTGTGTAAGAAAAAAAGACATTAAGCCTGCACACTTTACACTTAAAGTAATTTGTTATGTTATTTATCTGCTCAATGAAAACATTTCAAAAATGAATTTTGATTTGTTATTTTTTCATAGGCCAAAATGTTACTTTTTTAGAGAATGACCCATATAAGATTTTCATCTTCAAGAATCTAGTTACACTCAGGCACTGTTGTCAGTGTAATAAATTGTGTTAAAACATCAACATTTCATACAAAGCTATTGGATATGCATACAAATGTTTAATGCACTCATTCATACAAAAATACTGTTTTATTGTTCACAAATTAAATGAAACAGCACGTCATAAAGTCGCGCACAGAAATCCACCATTGCTCACAACTACTCACCTCTTCACCGCGGTACTCCGCAAAAGTTTGGGAAATTACCGCGGCATGATTCTTGATTGTGGAATAACCACAATACGTTTTGCATAATCAATATCGTGCCTTTATGAAATAACTATGGAATATTTGCCTAATTACCGGGTTGTTTTGCAAAAAGGAGCACTCGAGGTAAGCACTTGAAAGCAGTAAAGTACATTCATAGAGTATTAAAACATTAATTAATGTGATGTGAACTTCTAAAAAGGGAGCGCCATAGAGGGGAAGATCAGCTTACCCACTGCATCTCAGAACAACCATCCATTGTCCGATGATGCAGAACACTCGAACCGTACGTATGCGAAATAAGCGATTGGCCATTTGTTATTGTTGGAGGCATGGGACGTTTAAAGAAAGTTGGAGCCCTTAAACAGACAATCACGTATATATCTACAACATAAGTGAAAGCGATGCCTTCATTTTATTCTGTGAGGAGATGGGAAAGTAGTTTTAGAATTGCTGTTTATTTACCAACATCGGATTGTTTGTTGGTTTGTTTGTTGGTATATTTGTTGTTTAACCCTGCACTAATGGCAAACAACGTCTCTATTTTCAGATTCGATATGCTGTTCTCAAAGACTGATTGTGGTATTAATGGTTTTTTTGGGGGGAGTTATGGTTGAGACCAACAGGTCAAATCTCAGCATGGCCATCGTGTGCATGGTCAACGACACCACCGGCAACTACATCAACGGTACAAAGACAATACAAACACAATCAGAGGTACATTCATAGTCTCTGAAAATATATAATTTTAATAGAAACAAACAACTACATTTAAACTGGAAAGGGGTCCCAGTGTAATGGGAGTTTCAGAACCTACGGAAAATTGTTCATTACGACTTATAGCATTACAGTTTAGTGTCACTTTCTGGATTGCGATCAACATGCACGTGAAAGACATTTACTGTGTCACTTGATTGTTATCACTCCAGCTTGAAAACGGGGAAAGAATCTACATCGAAACGTCGCAATATGCAATAAACCAGAAGCTGTACGTTTTCGTACTAACTCACCAACTACTAGAATGCCAATCAATAATTGGTGATTTCTCTAACTAATGTTGAGACACAAACTGTATTTCTAGAATGCGGAGTTCTACTGGTCTAAGGGAGAACAGTCTGGAATTCTCAGCGCGTATTACTATGGGTACATGGTAACACAGATTCCATCTGGAATACTGGCCGCGAAATATGGCGGGAAAAACGTCATGTTTATTGGGATGCTGATTGGCTCGACCGCCTCATTGCTTCTACCAATCAGCGCCCGGACGTCCATCTATCTGGTGTATGCACTGAGGGTGATTCTTGGGCTGGCCATGGTAGGTTGAAAGACGTAGTTTTGACTGGATTAGGAAGACACACAACAGGAGTGTCCTATGAGTAAGTGAGTTAAAATTTAACGTCGCATCGGTATATTTCAGCCACATGGCGACGCGTGTTTCATGTGGCAATGTCGAGCAATATATGTCCATGTATGTTTCAGTAAGTATTTCGGAACGGCCTGACAAAAAAGTTTGCTGTTAACCTTTTGATGATGATGTAGTATTCCAATGAAAGTGTTGATAGTGATGATGGTTACCTCATCTCCAACGTGGCCCTTAAAACACAATGAAATCTTTTCGCAATTTCAATGTATGTGTTTTCAAAATACACCGTGTATTACACGTTTTCGTTAGGAGTTTTGCACGTTTTCAAATAACAAAAAACCGAAAATGCAAAAGAGAAGAGAAATGTGTATCTTAAAACGTCTTTAAGTGATTGAGTGATTGAGTTGCGTTTAACGCCGCTTTTAATAGTATTTCAGTAATATCACGGCGTGTCAGCGCTAGCTTAATGTGGGAGGAAAGCCCAAAGTGATACAGGTCTCAGACGTTTACCACTTCGGTGAAACCCACGAGCACGGGTATGGTGCTGACAAACCTAGAAACATAATCGGGGCGAACAGGGATTCGAACCCACAATCATATCTTTCTGGCGTGCCCAAGGGACGTAACTCTGCACAACGAATCGCGGAGCCTTAGACGACTGGGCCAATCGTTCCCCGAAAACGTCTTTTTGTCAAATAAAAAAACAACAACTGCATATTCATAAAATCTCCCGAAACACAAACATTAAACACAGATAAGGGTATATTGAATTACATTGAATATCAAGCTAGAATCCTTTAAAATACAACCATAACGCAAAAAAAAATTAAATTGGTAAGACGTCACAGATACGCCACCATACATTTCGTTAGAACAAAGGCAATTCATTCCGTTGGTCCAACAAGTATGGAATAATGTAAGATCTGGCAATCTCGACATTTGAAAGTTTTCAAAAAGTGCGAGAATGCGATATCATTAAAAAATGGCGTGTTACGCTTGTTTGACATTATTAGACCTACAAATAAATAAATAAATCAACAATTTAAAAACGAATGTTTACAATAAACCGTCACAAGACTATGCCATTTTTTGTTGCACTCCCCAGGGAGTCTTTAACCCGACTATACAGTCCATGATTGGCAGATGGGCGCCGCCATTGGAGAGAACCATACTTACAGCTATCTGCTATTCAGGTCAGTGCGAGTTGTCATTGATGATGACATACACGTTGGGAATTAAACTTCAGATAAAACTGAGAAGAAAAGTCAGAATGTAACACATGTTGAAACAGCTATTTCCCAAAAGCTACCAGGCAAAAAAGATTTAATATTTCCAATAGTAATAGGAATAGGAGTGAAACCTGGTATGTTTAACGATACCCAAGCTTTACCACTGTGAAAATAATCGAGGTAATCTCTAATATATTTAGAAAAGTGTGTCCGAGACAGGTTAAACGCTTCATTGAGTAGTATTTAAGTGAATACGGCGTGTAAGCTTGAATTTGGAGGAAAGCCCGGAGTAAACATGTTAATAATAATAATAATAATAATAATAATGATAGTAATTGTGAATTTTAAAATACATATTGAAAACTGTTTTACTTCTACCTTCCAGGATTTTCGTTTGGAATCATAGCCACGTTCACAATATCAGGATATATGTGCATCTATGGTTTCGATAATGGCTGGGGGTCCATTTTCTATGTTCCAGGTAATCATAAGAGAGAGAGAGAGAGAGAGAGAGAGGGGGGGGGGGGGGGGGGGGGGGGGGGGGATACTGTGGAAATAAGTGGAAAGGTGCCATTACATGGACTGACGTTTTCACTCGGGATCACTAATCTCTTTTTTAATTGGGCGAAATCCTCCTCAATTAGCTCTAAATTTTCTCTGGCAATGTCAGTTCTATTTTCCTTAGGATAATAATTTAGAAAGTTTGAGACCCAACAAGCAGATATCTTATTCATCTGTAAATGTTCATGAATAATAGTTTCAATGTATCCATGGCTTAGACCCGTGTCTTCCTCAAGTGAATTTATGAATTTCTTGAGGTTAACATTTGGGTGAGCTGAAAATGTAAATCGAGTGCTCTCTGATCCATTGACCGGGGTAATAATAGTGTAGCGCTATTAGCATCCATTTGGTGAATGGAATCTGGCGCATTTAAATGCACTTATCATTATTATTCTCTGAAGTCAAAAACTTGATGACTGCTCGGTACTCGTTCTATTCCATTTCTTTGTCCATCTGGACCCCTTTCACGTTCAACAGGCTGTCACCAACATTCAAACGGCCTCAACAGACCAAATTCACTTGCAATGAACTGTCAAACAACGTACTAAATTGACTAGTTCATTTTGTTATGGCTTGGAAATTTCAGTAATGCGGAAACCAACATGTCGAACGTCAACAGTTTAAACGGCAGAAACTGTCAGAAGTATTTCTTGACACTGATTCGTTAACCCGAAAACTGGTTACTCCGGATGGTGTTCGGGGGAACTGTATTGTCCGACTTAAAGGGGGTTCACTTTAAATGTGGAGACAACTGTACTGGTACACGTCCTTGTATTATGTGATAACCTTCATGATATAACGTAGATAATACATGTTTATCTGTCGTGTACGTGTCTATGTCTACAGGAGCTATATCGATGTTATGGTGCTGCCTGTGGTATATAACGATCGCCAGCACACCAGCTCAGCATCCTCGAATCTCGAAGAGGGAGCGGAACTACATTATTCAGGGAATAGGGGAGACATCGCAGGTTTTTAATGTTTATCTCATTGTTTATTTATCACTCGTTGTCGTCTTTATTCTTATATACTGATGAGTGTCGACTTCATAACTGAAACAAAAAGTTAACCCAGAAATCTAGTGTTTGAATTTGAGTGTGAAGCCAAGAAATTACAACGAAATGTTATACAATTAACAATTGTGTTAAAATTTAACTAGGTTTACAAAATAATACAAATTACTGCAAACTACTTTCTTGTTGATAAAATAAAATAAGATGAGGAATTATTCACCTGTGAACAATCCTTGCATTCAATGGTCTTCAGTAGGTTTATATTATTTATGTAGGCAGGGTTTAGTTTTCAACACATAAATGTATTCATTTGTTACATTATCTAAATTTATGATGGCCTCAAACAAGTTTTATGTTTATGCGTATATTTTATTTATTTTATCAATCCTCTTAATAACTATGTTCCATCAAATTAATGACTTTATTATTAGTGACTTTATTCAGAATGAACATACCGTTAAATCCTTAATTTGCAGACTTACAAAACGCCATGGGCGGCCATTTTGGTGTCTCCCGCGTTTCGGGCGTTTGTAGTCGGACATGTGTGTTTCGCCTGGCTCGTGTACACTCTGACGACCAATACACCTACGTTTTTCAAGGAGGTTCTGAACTTTGATATAGCAGAGGTATGTACATTTTCGTGTGCCCGTCTGTTAATTTATTGGGTAACACCACGCTCAGCTGTATCACGGCCGGCTGTAAATAATCGAAAGTGGACGAAAGCAAAAAACTGGTTGATATTATTTGCAACTTCAAAAGCTGTCAGTGTCGGTTGACAAGCAAACAAGCAAATCTGACAAACGTTATATATGGGATAACACTTTCTTTGTAAAGTACAGATTCTTGTATTTTTTAAACCGAGTCCCGTCCGGAATTCGAAACCACACTGGGTTTGTTACATTTGGCCACTTTCTAAATGGCATTCGAATAAGTTTAGACGCCTCTAATGAGCAGCAGAGAGATGGGGATTGACTGACAAACAACATGCAAACTATATGTGAAGACATTTGGTTTTATAGAATATACCTTTAAATGGCTAAACTTGTTTTTCACAAACAACATTTCCATTCTATAAGTAGTCTTTATTTTTCGGAAATCACATGGCATGAACACAGAAAATAATGCCATTTGATGAATATTGACTGGAACCATTATGGTAGATTTGTAGCTTTCTGTGATGCGACTTCATCCGAATTTGCGTGCAACGTTTTTATTGTGTTATTGTGGCTATAACAGGCTGATGTATTAATAAGAGAGAGATGCGTATACCATTCTCTCCACCTAGAACGGGTTGTTGTCCGCCGTCCCCTCTACCAGCCAGACTGTTTTTGGGCTGCTGGCCGGTCAGGTCTCAGACTATCTCCGGTCAAGGAAATACCTCAGCACAACAGCCACTCGGCGGATATTTCAGAGTATTGGTAAGTGAGTATGGTTTTAATTCCTTTCTTTTTTGCCCAATTCCAGCAATATCTAGCTGCGATAACAGATCATGGGTTTCCATTTGGGAATCGAACCTGGGCTTAACGCTTTTACCGCTAGGCTACCCCATCACTCTACCGGTCAGTATTGTGTTTACTGTGTGGTCTGTTTGAAAATTATAAAAATGTTAAAAAATGAAACTGAAACAAACTGTATACTTTTAAATGGGAGGGCGTGCGTAAATATTCAATTATTGAACATCTTTCAGAGTGAGTGAGTGAGTGAGTGAGTAAATAGGCTATTAGCAATATTCCAGCAATATCACAGCGGGGGAAACCATAAATGGGCTCCACACGATCATCTTTTAAAAGGTTCTTTTCAAAGACGAAACGTCACTTGCACGTCACGTCATAAATGATCCTGCTTTCAGTCACCGTACTGACAGGCTGTCACAGTATAGATGTATTATTTACCGAAAATAAGTCTTACTGTAAGTGAATCTGTAATGATAAAGTTGTTACATGTTTGGGTATATGGGATTTTACAAGTTGAACATGTACACACCTCGACCCATCAGTGGAGAACCTTCACATTTGGCTCCTAAATCACGAACAGCCGGGAAGTCATCATCCAAGAAAGTCATAGTCCTGTTCACTTTAGAATGTTACTATTTTAATTGCAGCATTCCTTGGGGCAGGTGCGTGTCTGGTTGGCACAGGCTTTATGGACGCTGAGAAGCGATATTTTGCAGTATTTCTGTTAGCAGCTGCAATGGCATTCATGGGATTGACGACAGCCGGAGTGCTGGTCAACACCGCCGACTTTGCTCCAAGGCAGGTTGATTCTGCGAAACTTGTGGGAAAAGCCCCCGGAAACTAATGCTATTACACACACATCTGAATAATACTACTACTACTACTAATAATAATAATAATAATAATAATTGTCTCGGTGCCTTGGGTTTGGACCCTCCCAATCTGTTGAATGACATTGGGAGAGTAGCCGGGTTTGCTACCAGGAATACAGCCCTTCTGACGATGTGTGTAATACAGAAGGCTGCAGTCTTAGGGAGTCTTCACATTCTCCGAAAAGTTCTGGGTGGGTTTGACAAGGCAGCGCTTCCTGGAAGAAGTCCCATTCGCTGTCTGGACTGCGTGTAGAGGAGGCAAGTGCCCTGAGCTGATGATGAGCCTAACCAGCCTGACTGTGCCAGGATCACCCAAACCCAAAACTTCTATCGCGAAATTCTCCATGCGCAATGCATGCTGGAAGCGCTCCATCGCATTGAAAAACGTTAAAGAGAGATCAGGAAGAGGTTTTAGGCGAGCTTTAAACAGTAAAAATCTTGGAGACTTTCTCAGTTGTGGAGGGTGTTTCAACACAATAATACTGATCTTATAAGATCTTAAAGGTGGTTCTCTTTGTTGACTTCAGCTTTTTACAAATCGGCTTTGAAATGCATACTCAATTTATTCACTTAACTATTATTTAATAGCAGGCAGCTTTTGAGACATTTTCATGTTACAGATAACGCAAGACTATTTATAAATTAGCGAGCTTTTCTATGCCGACCCGTAAATAATAATTCTTCTTCAAAGAAATGAAAGGATTCAAATTATGAACATGGAATTTTCGTTTCAGATACGCTGGAATATTGTTCGGTATTTCTAACACTGTTGCAACAACACCAGGGATGTTAGCACCTCTCCTTGCCGGCATCCTAACACCGAATGTAAGTGTGTGAGTGAGTTGGGTTTAACGCAGATTTGATCATTATTTTACTGTTAGTTTGCAGTGAGCATAACGCTAAAAGTTTATCCTAGTCGACGTTATTTAGGCTGTTTACATATCATGTACGTTACAAAGAGCTCACTGTGGGAAATTTATTATTGTTTTAAGTTAAATAATCTATCTACCTGACTGGCCAGGTCAGTCGCCGTCTTGTAATTTAACAGTATGTAAATGGGCGACCATTACGGATACGATGACGTCATACATTTTGACGTGACGTCACTTGCTTGTCACGTCAAAATTGGCCCTGTTCGACACTCGAGGTACCATACTGAAAGATCGATTTCGGCCAAAAAAATGCTCAAGTGGAACCCAAATATTTTACCGAGAATAAGTTTTTTAACAGTTTAGTTTTGTGAGTGAGTGAGTGTGGTTTTACGCCACTTTTGGAAATATTTGAGCAGTATCACGGGCGGGGGACACCAGATATGGGCTTCACACATGGGCTGTACACATGTGGGGAATCGAACCCGGGCTCTCGGCGTGACAAGCGAACGATTTAACCACAAGGCTACCCCGCCGCCCCTTGTAACATGTAAACTCCCTATACGGGCCTATGGAATTTTACAAGCTCAACGTTCAACACCTCAACGCTGCAGTATTTCAGTAAGGTCATGGAATGTCAGCTTGACTTGGGAAGAATATTGCAGATTTTAAACATTAACCGTGAGCACGGACATGGTGCGACTCAAGAACATGACGTAAAAGCAGATCCATCGACTTTCTCTTCTTACAGAAAACTCAGGAAGAATGGCGGAACGTGTTCTACGTCTGTGGGGGAGTCTGCATCCTTGGAACTTTGGTGTTTGGCACCCAGGCCAGGGGGGAGCTGCAGCCCTGGGCCGTGGAACAGGCGACGGTGGACGTGGAGGAGGGGGAGGGGCGGGATGTAACAGGGGGGGTGACCAATGATGTTGTTATCAACGGGAGGCCTAAAAACAACACGACATTCATGTCAACCAATCTATAAATGATGGTCCAATCAGCTACGGATTGGACATAACAGGATATTCCAGGACATTCTTCATCAACAGTTAGACCATTTCTACGACCTTAATCAATCTTCTATCATGATATAACATTTAAACTAAGTTTTCCTATAATAATTAGATCCACATGAAATGCTTTTATGAGTTATCATGGTGTAATATTTATACATCATTTCACATGATAATTGTTTAGCAAGTAATACATATCATCAGATAAAAATGTATATAAAATATCAGTAGTTTCAATTATAGCTTTTTAGATAGATGCTAGCCTAAGGTAACGAGAACACATCTCCTAGACATACTATTCAATATTTAACAAGCTGTGATAGTCTAAATCCACTCAGATACTGTTGTCATTGCTATAATTTTGTATAAAAAAGACCAACATTTCATATCAAAACATATTGGATATACATACAAAAGTCAGTGTACTCTTTCATACGAAAAAGAACACACATAATGCACAGTGTTATTGTTCAGAAATTAAATAAAATGTATTTATAAGTCAGCACAAAAGTTCATGACTACAGTACTTCTCACAATTACTCACGTCTCCACTGCGGCATCTCCGCAAAACTTTGGGGGAATTACCGCGGCATGTCTGGAGAATAACGACAATACGTTTCCGTAACGTGGTACCATTATGAAATACACGTGGTACATTTGCCTAATAACTGCTGTATTTTGATTACCTACCGTAACGTATCATTTTGCATCGCAAACGTTTCGCAGAAAAGAGCTCAGGATGTAAGCACCTGTGAGTACCACAGTTTATTAATTTACAAAGTGCTGTCAGGAGACGCCATGGAGGGGAAGATCAGCTTACCCAATGCATCACAGAACAAGCATCCACTGCCCGATGATGCATGGGATGCTGAAGGCCTACCCGGAATCTATACGGGTCTTGTTTTACTTATTTCCTTATACCACGTCATGCAATTTGAAAATGACACATTTCATGCTTGATCATAAAATAACCAAAGAAATCCAAATCGTAGGTAACATAAGCGTGAATTGATCGATTTAGTTGGTGTATCTTAAAAGGCTGTGACAATATATGGGTCATTCTCTAAAAAAGTTGCATTTCCTCTACAAATGAATTTTCTTGAAAACAACTCATAATTCTGTTTTCAGATTACTTGACAATGAAGTTATTTATCAGATGTATGCAATATTCTGATTAAATTACTGCTATAACCTTATGTTAGCCAGTAAAATACCTTAAATGTGCAGTATTGTGCAGAAATTTGTTGTCCACAAATAAAAAATTAAACTTTCTCAAATTGTCTAAAGTCTCTGGGAACAAATACTTTCCAAAGCCCTGGTGATTTATGTAGCATGACATCATGAAAGGATAATACATCAGCAGAAACCTGTTGGTTTTCCACTTGGATTCATTATTTATGGCAACAGTAATCTTGTCAAGAGTTACAGTCTCTGTCCTGTCACCAGATAGTACAAATACAAAAAATAATTGCACCTGTGATATCCCAGAAGGCTAAGGTCTTTGCAGGTCACTTCCTTTCCAGTACTATCATGTCACCATATGCTCGAGCATTTTACAGTGGTGAAGTGTCTTGAAAATAACTGGTAAGTGTTGTCTTTTGATGTGCACTTTTTGTATCTGTCTGTGCTGTCACCATAAATTTTGGATTCCGAAATTGTTATTTAAAAAATCAAATATAATGAGTATATCAGAATGGAACTCAAGCAGTGTGCTTTTTGTAGCTTTTAAAAAAAGTGACAGGACAGACATATTTAGGCGACAGCACAGACATAGAGTGTTCAATTAATGTTTCAACACATATATATTAAAAGACAAAGAAAACATGAATGGTAATTTATTTTGTATGGTTGCTTGTTGCATGAAAATCTGAATATTATTAACATTTGGGTCAATAAACACTGATTACACTGCACAGTAGATCTTTGGTAACAGCACAGACTTTAAATAGTGATAGCACGGGCACATATCAGTGACAGCAAAGACATTTTAGGATTTTTGTATCATTTTGACACAAATAAAGAACAGTTATTCATTTTGCTCGCCCTACTGTTGTGCATAATTAAGAAACGTAACATATTTAGCACCTCTAAAGGAAAGTAATGTTACATGATTACTTCAAACACCGTGTCTACGCGTGGGGGAAAGAGAGAAGTGGAGGTGTGTTCTGACAGAATGGAGTGTATGTGTGGGGGATAAAGAGAAGTGGAGGTGTGTGCTGACAGAGTGGAAAGTCTGATTCGGAGAAAGAGAGAAGAGGAGGTGTGTGCTGACAGAATGGAGATTCGGATTGGGGGAAAGAGAGAAGAGACGAGTGCTGACAGAATGTAGAGTCGGAGTGGGGGAAAGAGAGAAGTGGAGGTGTGTGCCGACAGAACGGAGAGTTGGAGAAAGAGAGAAGTGGAGGTGTGTGCTGACAGAATGGAGATTCGGAGTGGGGGGAAAGAGAGAAGTGGAGGTGTGTGCTGACAGAATGGAGATTCGGAGTGGGGGGAAAGAGAGAAGTGGAGGTGTGTGCTGACAGAATGAAGTGTATGAGTTGGTGAAAGTGAGAAGTGGAGGTGTGTGCTGACAAATTGGAAAGTCTGATACGGAGAAAGAGAGAAGAGGAGGTGTGTGCTGACAGAATGGAGATTCGGAGTGGGGGGAAAGAGAGAAGTGGAGGTGTGTGCCGACAGAACCGAAAGTCGGAGTGGGGGAAAGAGAGAAGAGGAGGTGTGTGCTGATAGAATGGAGTGTATGAGTTGGGGAAAGAGAGAAATGGAGGTGTGTGCTGACAGAATGGGTGAGGTGAAATGGGGTTTAACGTCGCGACCAAGATTATTGCACTTATATAGCGACGTGAATGCACATGTGTGTGTGTGTGGCTGCTTGTACTAGTCCGGACTGATGCCGATTTATAGTGCCAGCTCTCTGAGATACCATGCGGCAGTTTAACATGAATACCCCACTCAGACACAGTATACTGACTCCGAGCCGACCAGTCCTTGTTTTATCCCCTTAATGCCGAGCGCCAGACAGGGTAACAACAAGTACCATCTTTTAACGTCTTTTGGTATGACGCGGTCGGGGATCGAACCCCGGACCTTCCGCTCTCCGGGCGGACGCTCTACCACTAGAACATGGTTTGCTGACAGAATGGAGAGTCGGAGTGGGGGGAATGAGAGAAGTTGAGGTGTGTGCTGACAGAATGGAGAGTCGGAGTGGGGGAAAGAGAGAAGAGATGAGTGCTGACAGAATGGAGAGTCGGAGTGGGGGAAATAGAGAAGAGATGAGTGCTGACAGAATGGAGAGTCTGAATGATCATGATGATTGTGAGATTCACCAAAAGACACGTAAGGAAATGGTACAAAGTTCAGACGATGATAAGATGGAAAGTCAAAAGGCAATACACCAGCCAGTTGATACAAATGAATGCCTGGGGAAATATGTTGTCATTATGTATAACATATCATATCCTGATTATGTTGAAGAAAATAGAGCTAGGTGAAATTTTTGTGGAATGTATTCATAAAGTGGGAAAGTACAGGAATGCAAATCGTTTCGTCTGGCCAGGCAAACCTAAAGACAAATGCTGGTACCATTTTGAGGACATAGTTAGCTTGGTACCAGAGCCTTCCCAAATCTCACTGTCCTCTGACTATTACGATGTTGAGCCTTCTTTGTGGGAAGATATGTTGGAAACAATCCATGGCAAACAATAACCTGTGTTAAATGTGCACATGTATGAGGTCAAGAATGATTTACGGAATGTTGTCATATAATGCTATCATTTGGTAAAAGTGCAAATCTGTTATCAGACTTTGTCTGTGCTGTTACTGTTGAAGTTTTGAAAGTTGACATTTCTCATTTCCTTACAGATTTTTGCTTGGGGAATAAGCAACAATATCCTCAAGAAGTGCCATTAAGGTTGTTGGTATAGTTTCTGATCAAGTTCTATTTTTGAGATGAGCAATTCCACATAAGATTTGTTTATGAAGTTTTGATTGATTGATTGATTGATTGATTAGTAAAATGTTTTATAGGTGTTCGGGCAACTAGGCCCATTTACACCTTGCCCATGATAAAGGTTTGCTGAGTACCTGGATATTTTGTAAAGAATCAAAACTGCTACACGCTTTAATATAAGCGAGAATGACATTCTGAACATCATGGTGAACAATATTCCTAGAACATAAAATACCAGACAATGAGAAGTCAATATTGAGAACTGTTAGTGCCATTGCCTTACGCTGATTAACATACTTTTGGCAATGCAATAAAAAAAATGAACTACATTATCAAGCTGATTACACACTGTACAATGTGCAGAAATGTCTCTATTAATAACATTTAGATAAGCTCCAAGACCACAATGCCCAAGACGAAGTCTGGTTAAGAGAACCTCCTCTCTCCGATTATTTCTAGATATGTGTAATTTAGTGATTAGTGATCGATGCCAAAGAGATGACGTCCTTTTAAGGATGATGCCCATCTCTGCTGCCATTTTGTTTTAGCATGGGTCATACTGACGGTCCCTAACTCTGCAGGAGAAGGTAAAATTGTTTCATCCTGTTCATCACATTCTAGTGAAGCTTTTGCCAATTTATCCGCTTTCTCATTTCCAAGTAATCCAACATGAGCGGGGATCCATGAAAATTCAACATCTAACAGATCCTTACTTAAGTCATTATAAAGGACGAGAATAATGTTGATCAAGTCCTGCCTCGCTGAGGAAGAACCTACCCGAATTGCTTGTAATGCACTGACAGAGTCACTGAAAATTACCGCTGAAACAGGCCTTAAAAAAATTAATCCAATGCAATGCTTCAATGATTGCTCCTAGTTCAGCAGAAAATACTGATAAGTGATCAGCCAATCGGATAGAAAGTTCTCTCTGTTCATTAACGATGAATATACCAGCACCAACACGACCAGACACTGGGCACTTAGAGCCATTAGTGTAAATCTGCATAGCATTCAACCACTGTAGACTTCGGATATGTTCCTCAGCTATAGCTTTAACTCGAGGTGCTGGCTCACATTTATTTACCTGCTCCTGGACATCTAGATAAACTGATGCTAGTTTAAGCAACCATGGTGGCTATTCAGGCAGAACAGTAGGGTCATCTATTGCAACATCACGCACAGTATGATTGAAAGCTTTTCTCTGAGATCGCATCCCATAAGGCCCCATACCATTTTTCCAAGTGTCATGAAAATATTCTACCAGTCACACAGTTGACGTTGAGTGTTTTCTCCCAAAAGATTTCAATTTTAACATATATCTAACGTCTAACATTTCACGCCTGAGATCTAAAGGCATTTCACCTGATTCATAATCTTAGGGCTTTCGACTGAACAACATCAAGTCTTGCTTTTTGTGTAGAACATGTAGATCCATAGGCTTGACAACCGAATCAAGTCGAGATCTAATGAGGGCTCTATATAACATTAACAAACACTTCCTGTCTGCACCCAATTTGGTACTAGAAATACTTCTCAGAAGTTTCAGGGCTTTATTGCATTTCTGAATCAGATACTCCACATGTGGTTTCCAGGTGAGCCTCTTATCAAACCAGAGACCTAAAAACTTGACTTTATCGACAAACTCCAATTCAGAACCACACAAGACTAATTTTGAATTATGAGGAATCTTTTTCCGAGTAAAAATGATGGCAGGAGATTTAGAAGCTGAAATCTTAAAACCCCAATGTACACACCAATACTTTACAAGACAGAGAGATTGTTGAACGACTTTGAAGACAGTGTCAAAATAACCGGACATTTTCCACAACGCTCCATCATCTGCAAACTGTTTCAACCAGGAAATTAATATTCTCAAACAAACCATTTATCATGACATTAAATTATGTTGGGCTGATCACACTTCCTTGAGGTGTTCATTCTCTAAAATATAAATATCTGACAGTGACGTTCCATTGCGAACGTGTATAGTTCTACCCGTTAAGAAATATTTTATCCAATCAAGCATACGTCCACAAACTCCAATGTTATACAGTTTAATTACCAAACCTTCCCTCCACAACATGTCATATGCTTTTTCAATGTCCATGAAAACAGCCATTAAATATTCAGTGCTACCTAATGCCTTTTTAATTTCAGTTTCAAGTCGCACTAAATGATCAGCACAAGATCTATTTTTTCTAAATCCTGATTGAACTTCTGAAAACAGATTTTTCTTTTCCATGAAGTACACCATCAGGTTATTTACCATTCTCTCCATTTCTTTACACATGTTAGAGGTAAGAGCAATAGGTCTGTAGGATGTGGCTTCAGTAGGATCTTTACCAGGCTTCGGAATTGGAACTACTATTGCTTTGTTCCAAGAAGTCGGAAGTTTGTCTTCAAACCAAATATTATTGAACAATAAAAGCATGGTTTCAAGGCTGATAAGGGGAAGATGTTTAAACATATCAAAGCATAATGAATCATCTCCTGGAGAAGTATTTTTCCATCCAGAAATAGCATTCTTTAATTCCTGGAAACTAAATAATGAGTTGTAATCAGCAATATGATATGTTGGACAATGTAAGATGTCCGAGAATTCAAGTGTTTCTTTATAGCGGAGAAAATCTGAGTTAAA